TAAATATTGACTTGTTCATGGAGGTGGTGTCTTTCACTTCAATGAATGGTTTTTTCAAATTTGAGGAAAGAATTTATAAACAAAAGGATGGGGTCGAACTAACGGTTAACTAGTATGTAGATTAAGAAAAACAATGGACTCAAGTGTGATCCCTGTAGCACTCCGATGTAACCCGAATAGGCTTTGATTTAAATAGTTTAATTTTTAAATACTTGACCTAACTTTTCTTCATGGAAAACAGATCCTGAGAGGTTATCGAATCGTATGGTCTAGACGATGGAATGAATAGAACAATGAAAGGGATCAAAAAATAGAAAACATGCCATGTTTCGTTTGCCATGTTATTGATTAGAAGGGAGGACTCCATTTTTCCTACACATAAATAACATAATGGCTCTTAGGGCGAGTGATATAATGGAAGGGAGATGATGTTGCCGAAACAATGCTATCGGGGAGGATGAAAACGAAATATCATTTAATTGAATATAAGACCGGCATATGGGGGATGTGGGGCCCGTCCATTGTTTGGAATAATGCAGTGATCAGGATCGTAGCCGGCACGTTTTACGCTATTAAAAAACTATTAAGGGATTCACACTTCGAGGGTGATAGGAGGGCTGTCGGGTCTCTTCAATTTTTTTGCCGGGCCGGCGAAATTATTAAGGCGGAGGCTACCTGAGGGACGCTCTGGGCGGTGGTATAAAGGGACCCATGTCACACAGACGGCATAACTCATCTTTCACGCGTTTATTCCCTTTTCGGAATGACCTTAGAAAATCACGCGACACGCTTTTTCCGATCGACGAGGAACCCGGGGGATTACCTGGATTCGACGTTTTCCACTCCAAATCAGAACCTCTGCCTTCTCCATGTTCCAAGACTGTTCCAACCTATTTTCCAGGATTCAATTCCACGTAGTTCGATTTAATAGTACATGGCCGATTGGTCGGATCCCGCTTCTGGAATCCAATCCAGGATTAATTAGTTTACCTGTTAGATGTGCGCGTAACGAATCCGAGAGTCTGCCGTTCATTTCTAACTTTGTTACGAATCGGGAACAAGGTATAACGATTACTGACGACTGATTTATACGAGCTCAACTTTGTACATGCATATACATACACACATGTACAAAGCTGAGCCTATCACTTCTCCCAGTTCACCGGTAATTTTAGCTTTTGTGATTTACAATAAACTACTGGCAGTCTCTAGAATCACCCACCTCGGGGTCAAAGACATTCCTGGGTCAAACTTCGGTCTTACCCTCCAGCCGCCTAGGTTTGAGGAGGATGTCTGTTGCGGTCAGCAGACATCAATTCAACACCCGATAATGCTGTTCGTACTATAGATTTCTTACATTCATTCTTTCTTAATTACATATCACTCACACAGGGTAGTGGAGTACTTGATATTCTTCCATCACCCTCTAGAATAGAATAGAGTAGGTGTAGAATATTGTATTTAAGCATTTACATTTTATCTCTTATTTTGACATAGATTACATAGATATATGACAAAAATTTATCGAAGCAAAAAATATCTGCAATTACATTATCATATATACAGTACAGTGCTGTTAATAGTATACATAAATTTCTTAAGAAATTTTCTTTTTTTATTACTTAATTATTAATATTTATTTTATTACGTTATCTTAATTAGTTTAGTTTTTATATAACACAAGAAATAACATGTCTTTGTTATAGATTATTTACTTTTTTTATGTAAGGTTTTTGGTTGAAATGAAAAAGCTAGTGCCACGAGCGGGATTCGAACCCACGACCTTCCCCTAAATACGCCGCTGCTCTTCCACTTGAGCTATGTCTTTCGCGGTCGGCTTCTGCTCACTGCGAATGTCAATAGCCACCTGGTTTCATTAACAACTTCCCTTCCATTACCCACACCTTAAAACACGCTATTATCCAACGCCGGGGCTTTAATTCATATAAATATGAATTTTAAACATCGACTCATTACCTTATTAAGTTCAAATTTGCATCTACGTGATGGTCAAATACGAAGGTGTGTTCTACCACCATAGTTTTTTTAAAGTCTCTTTTTTGTATCTTAAACAAAACCGCCAACGCATATGAGCCTAATAGATGAACTTCAAATACAATACATATTATAACCGCTTATTAAATCCATTAGGTTTCGTGGTCTGATTGACCAAATAAATTCTTTTCGATAATTAATTAATCTTTATGTAAAGTATAGTCAGTGTCAAGAGCAGGATTCGAACCCACGATCTTCGGCTTGATACGCCGCTGCTCTACCACTTGAGCTATCGTGACTTCGATCCACTCGGACCCCAACACCCCATCTCAACCTACAACATCTACACATATTATATAACTAATTGAGGGACGAATGAGTACTCAATATTCCGTCTTCGGCCCACTCACACTACACATTCACGTTAATAAATGCAATCACTCTCAACATGACATAATACACTATACACTAAGAAGCAAAGAAAAGGTCACTCATAATATTTTTAATTTTCTCTTAGACAATTCTCCTTACAATCATCTTACAACATTATTTGGCCCATTTTAAAGGATTAGAGATGGATAAAACACAAATGAAATCTCCCATTTGTGTTTAAAATTGAATTTTGTAAATAAATCTTTGACAATCTCTTCTTTGTTGATTTTCTTAAGTATTTTCTAACGTTCCGGTGGTTAGATTTTTTTAAGTTGTACCATTTTTAAATTTCAAATTTGTTTGATCGATGGTTTTAAGTGATACAGATTCGGCTAGAATGGCATTGTTGGATGATGGAAGAAGTGAAGCGTAAGTGGCCAGGGTGCTTAACAACCGTCCGAAGGGTCTTCCATCTTTACCAAGATACTGGAGGTTACTCAAGAAGGCATGGATCAGGTCGCCATCGTATCACATCCCAGAGAGATGATACTTTTATTGCTGGGACGGACGACATTCTACCGCTGTTGAGATCGAACAACGACTCCAACAAGTTAGAAATGTTAATATCAGTTTACGCACTGTAAGGTGATGATTTTCAGAAGCTGGATTAAGTGAGAGAGGCATGCCACTGGTCCAGAGACCAGAGGTCTGACAAGGCACAAAACAGCTCCATTAGGTTTCGCTAGAATTCACAACAATTGGTCTGATCAAGATCGGATGAAAATCAAGGTTTTTTGAGGTCTTCTGACGGCCGAGAAACGAATAGGAGAGCGATATTTCTGGATCTATCTATGTTGACTACTTTCTTCACTGTTTCACAAGAACATTTTTGGTTAAATTTTTTTGTACAGTTTCATTTTTTATTTACTTATATCTTATATTTTTCTTCAACAATAAAAATTATAACGATTGCTAGGAGGTATTTAATAAATAAAAAACGAGGGTGGCTCCTTTTTTTGGCTCGCAGGCCCAATTCTCATATCGGGTGGCATTCCTACACGCCGCCTATATGGAGCACCCTTCAATTAGGGGGGGCAGACTGAGCATATGTTACATCTATTTACATAACACACGTCGGCCTTCTCACAGTAAACATTCACGCTAATAAATACATTTAGTCTAAATATGCACAAAGAAAGCCAAGGTAAAACATCCATGTTACCTGTAAAATTGGAACAAGGGACGCAGATACTCACCGTGCTCATGCACTATGTTCATATCGGATGGCATACCTACACGCTTTTTCTAAGGAGCCGAGGAATTGCAATCCTTCAATTTAAGTAGCACTCATCGAGCGACCTTTCTCTAAATCCCGAATAATCTGGATATAGGTATTGTCTGGATGAAAAAAAACAAAAAACAAATTCAATTATTAACTGCCAAGCTTTTTGTTATGGTCACCACCAGACAAAGCAATCTTAAAGATTACTGGATTACAATTTGACATAATAAAATTTTGCCCAAATTGCCGGGCGTCAACCTCGCAAGGCCTATTCTTAATCTGAATAGATACGTTGATCTACTGTTTATTTGTCAAGCATTAAAAATTTAGAATTTACTGAATGGCGGAAATTGTACGGAAGCCCTTCATAAGATTCACGCGATTCCCTTTTTGGGTTTACGCACTCTGAAACTTTTCCTGAGTCGTTTCAAAAATGTCTTTTTGCCATGAAATTTTTTCGCCCGAACAGCCGGCATAAAGGTTAATACTTTACCCCGTAAATGCAGAGTGAAACCTATAATGAAGATTATCGGGCTCAGATTAGATGTCGATGCGATAAATTTAACCTCTGGACGGAGAGAGAGAGAGAGAGAGAGAGAGAGAGAGAGAACCGCAATGACTCGCGAAGTGTTATTAAAACCTTTCGGTTATCAGCCTTATCCGATTTTGGCGACTTCCGTCCCTACGTTTAAAATTGACATCTGTTACATGAACAGTTCAAAGCCCAGTTGTCTAATTTCAGGTTATACGCTCACACTTTCTGAAACTACAACAATAAAAAAAAAGTGGACAGCTAAAAACTCAACACCTCATTAACTACCTAAATGATAACGGACTTGATAGTAGTAAAATTATTTTATCAGCTGAAGATGACATCAATATGGAGAATTTGTGCTTACAAAAGGAGGCTACCGACAAATCACGGATTTTAATAATTTTTCGTTTTTTATGATACTAGGACAAAAAATAACAGACACGTATGAGAGCGTTCTTGCCAACGATACACTTTCGGAATCAGTGTTGCCCGCAGTGTAGCCAAAACATGGTAAGAAGGGGGAAAACAGTGCTACCTTGTTACGTATTCTTAAAATACTAGGTCGAAAAATATTAGACAATTGGTCCAGCGTTCTTTCCAATGGGACACTCTTCGGAATCAGTGTTGCACACAGTGTTGCCAAAACATGAGAAAAGTGGAAATACAGTGTTACGTTTTACGAATTCTTATGTTAAAAGAAGTTGTTCCATGGAACTATACCTTATTTGAGACACACATAATATCTCACATCGTTTTCAGATCAAATATAAAATTAGAACTTAGTTAGGTTAATTCAATTTTTTCTTTTTGTTTCAGGCGGAGGAAGTCTACTTTCACTCGCACCACCGTTGCAGATTCCTAATTTGCAACATCCTCCGAACACATTTGGATCATAAAATCCATGTTGATGTAATATTCCCACAGTGAACAGAGATTTTCCTTTCCTGGCCTGTTTCCTTTCGGTTGAAATTGGAATTTTTGGACAGTTTTATTTAACAGCTTTTATTTTTATTTCTTTAAAGGAGAAAATAAGTGGAAAGAATTGTTTCAGCCAAGTCTACAGTGGCAATTAAAATGCATAGTAATTATCAGGACAATGTCATTTGGATAAGATCTACTTCACATCTGTCAGCACCCCGGCTTTTCCCCTGTGTCTTGCGTCCAAAGAAGATCCCACGACGAGACTTTTTTTTATTTGTTTTGTTCCTTTTTTTGTAATACCTATGTTCTGCCAGCAGTTCCTACTACTATATCTGCTTGATTAAATATACAAAAATGTAATTAAGTGGTAATTTATCAATCCTTGCCACCCTATTAATTCTTTAATTTTTCTCCTAAGATCAGAACTGAACAAAATCGTCCTCACGAACCTAAAAGAAATCAGTGATCATTTGGAAAACTGGGTTTTAAGCGGTATGCCAATGGCACTGTCATATTAGCGTTATATATCGAACTTGACACTAAATGTAGATAAGTTCTAAATCAAGCTTGTGAGGAAAAATGATCGTTTAACAGGGTCGAAATAAATGTGACAGGATGTATAACTTTTCTCAAATTAACTCTTTTTTAACTTCAAATTAACCCTTTTTAATTTCAAATTAACCTTTTCTTTATAGCTATAATAAACTTAGTAGATAATAGAAGATAATATAGATAATATGAAATAGTAGATAGTATAGATAATATTAAATATAAGAATATAAAATAGAATTGCTGTATATTTGAATTTTGTTTTTTAATATAAAATAATTTGGCTGTAAGACGATACAAAAATTAATTAAAAATAAAATAAAAAGTATATACCTTTAAATGTAAAAATGCTTCTTTTAATTTGAGAATTTAAAAAAAGCGTGTATACAAACAAAAAGTTCCTTTATTACTTCAATTTTTTTCAATATGAAAATAGTCATTTCAACTTCAAATTATCCCTTTTTAACTTCAAATTAAGCTTTTTAATTTGAAATGAACCTCGTTTTAACTAGAAATTAACGCTTTTAACCTCAAGCTAACCCTTTTTAATTTAAAATTAACTCTTTTTATTTTCAAATTGACTCTTTCTTTAAAGTACTCAAAAAATTTAGGATATGGTATGAAATACAAGCATATATAAAAACTATGCTTCTATTAATTCGACATTTAAAAATATAAAACAATTAATCTTCTGAACTTCACTCTTCACCCTTTTTAATATCAAATTATACCTTTATAATTTCAAATAAAGGGTTTTTTAACTAGAAATTAACGCTTTTAGTCTCAAGTTAACCCTTTTTAATTTAAAATTAACTCTTCGTAATTTCAAATGAACCCTTTATTTAAAACATTAAAAATCTTAAGAGATGGTATAAAACTTAACTACGTATAAAAACAAAAGTTTCTGTTAATTCGAAATTAACTCTACTTAATTTCAAATTAATCTTTTCTTTAAACCATTAAAAAAACTTAGAAAATGGCATGAAATGTAAGCGTGTAAAGTCAAATTTTTGTATAATTGACAATTAAAATAATAATAAGAATAAAATAGTTGAGCTCTTAACAGACAAAATACAAAATAATTTTTAAGTCCACGATCTATGTTAACGGCTTCACAATGGGGCTACATGGATCATACTAAAGTAGAACATATTAACAGTATTTTACGAAAATATTAATGTCAGTAAGGCTCGTGAAACTACTGGACAAAGTGAACGAAAAGGACTTAATTTTAAAAGCTTCGTGTCCGTTCGAACAACGTCAAAAACCTGAAAAAAGGGTTATCATTAAAATGTATGAGATTCATATTGAATATTTATTTTTAAGGTGTTTAAATTTTGTATTTCACGTGGGACCCATCGTGAGAGACGGTACTTCGAGTTGACCGAAGCACGGAGGTGACTTACAGGGTGACCATTTGATTAACGATCTTTAGTTTTCCTCTCATCTTCTTTGGTTACGCCGAGTCAATTAGCCCTTTAATTACATCGTAAAGGTGATCTTTACCGGTGCCGGCTTTTACGACTGCGTGCCCTCCCCCGGACTGGAAACGGGGCCGTTTATCCTCTCGGGGGTACACTTTCGATTGCCTCCGACACACATTCGTATTCGGCGTAATTGTTTGCATCCGTGATTTCTCGCTTCATCAGTTTTTACTGCCATGTCAATTGGCCGATGGCTGGCGGCGGCGGGGGGGATGTTTAGGTGGCAAAACTTTAAAAAGGTTATGGCCGTGCTCAGAAGGTGTCTTAAAATTTCATTATTTATTGCGCCTTTCTTGACATTTTTACGTTCTCTACATACGAAGGACGAAACTGATTAACGGCGTATTAAATAATAAAAACGACTTCAAAAATTGCGTCAGTAACTAAATTGAATTGCTTTTATCTGACATGCTTTTAATGACATTTCAACGTTTCTTACACGTTTGTCATACGTACGAAAAAGATTTCACGTTCTTATGACATGTTGATATATGTTGACCGTGGCATTTTTAAATCTAGTACTATGCAGGAACAAAATTTTTCCTGGGGCAGTTTACTTAAACCCAGGTGAAACAATTTCGTACGCCACTCTTTGCTGTCTGGCTAATTCCATTTGTATTTTATTTTGAAATAATTTTTGCATAAGTGTCCATGAGAGGTTTATGTAGTACATGACAAACAATCACATCATTTACGATCTTGAAATTTCTTCTTGATGAGACCCAGCACATAAAAAGTATTTGATGATGATGTAGCTATTTTCCGTAAAATGAACACTTTTTATCTTCAAATTAACCTTTTTCAAACTAACCCATTTACCTTCGAATTAACCTCTTTTTAAATTCAAATTAACCTTTTCTTTAAAGCGATAGAAAAAACTTAGGAGATGGTATGAAATACAAAATATAAAATAATTGGGTCTATATGAAAAATAATTACAATTAAAATTAAGAATTGTTATTCAGAAATCGTGAGATGCGGTCTAGTGTGATGTAGGTTTCAGAAATACATTTTCTTTATCGTGCCAACGTTTCGATCTTTATTGAGATCATCTTCAGGGCCTGGGATTTACAAACATTGTTTANGCATTAAATACCTCCTAGCAATCGTTATAATTTTTATTGTTGAAGAAAAATATAAGATATAAGTAAATAAAAAATGAAACTGTATAAAAAAATTTAACCAAAAATGTTCTTGTGAAACAGTGAAGAAAGTAGTCAACATAGATAGATCCAGAAATATCGCTCTCCTATTCGTTTCTCGGCCGTCAGAAGACCTCACAAAACCTTGATTTTCATCCGATCTTGATCAGACCAATTGTTGTGAATTCTAGCGAAACCTAATGGAGCTGTTTTGTGCCTTGTCAGACCTCTGGTCTCTGGACCAGTGGCATGCCTCTCTCACTTAATCCAGCTTCTGAAAGTCTTCACCTTACAGTGCGTAAACTGATATTAACATTTCTAACTTGTTGGAGTCGTTGTTCGATCTCAACAGCGGTAGAATGTCGTCCGTCCCAGCAATAAAAGTATCATCTCTCTGGGATGTGATACGATGGCGACCTGATCCATGCCTTCTTGAGTAACCTCCAGTATCTTGGTAAAGATGGAAGACCCTTCGGACGGTTGTTAAGCACCCTGGCCACATACGCTTCACTTCTTCCATCATCCAACAATGCCATTCTAGCCGAATCTGTATCACTTAAAACCATCGCTCAAACAAATTTGAAATGGTACAACTTAAAAATCTATCCACCGGAACGTTAGAAAATAGTAATCCATTTACGTTTTAGTGGTCAATTGACCAAGTTACTTCTTTCAATTAATTATTCTTTCTATGTAAGGTCTTGGTTGAGATAAAAAGTCAGTGTCACGAGCGGGATTCGAACCCACGACATTCGTCTAAGTACGCCGCTTCTCTACCACTTCGGCTATCGTGACTTCGATCCTCTCGAACAACTCTCCACCTCAACCTACAACCGTTCGAATTTTCCCTCTTTTTGCCATTTTCAAATGTCGTGTTATCAGGATTCGATTCTCAGCGAAGTGGCCACGGGGAGCTACTTAGTGGTGAATCTTCTGTTACTTATTAAATAGTAATCCATTTACGTTTTAGTGTTCAATTGACCAAGTTGCTTCTTTCAATTAATTATTCTTTCTATGGAAGGTCTTGGTTGAGAAAAAAGAGAGGATTTAGCCAAAGGTCGTGAGTTCGAATCTCACACGTGACACTAACTTTTTGTCTCAACCAAGACCTTCCATATAAAGAATAATTAATTGATAATTAGAAAATAGCTTTACAGAAAAACTAACAAGACGAGATTGTCGATTCAAAGATTTATTTTCCAAATCCAATTGTAAACACAAATGGGAGATTTTATCTGTTTTATTTGCCTCTAATCCTCTAAACGGACGAAATATTGGTATAAGATAATCAATGGAAAATTGTCTAAGAAATAATTAAAAATATTAAGAGTGGCCACTTTTTTGCGTCTTATTATATTTTTAAATCATTGCGACATCAACCGGACCTAATTATTTTACACAGAAATCCAAGTGTTGTTTACACATAAATTGCTTGGGCTTAAAGCCTGCTTTTAATAAAGCAACAACGCGAATATCCATTTATCTATGAGATAGATCGTGTAGCGCATAAATGGTGTAGGTGGTTCATTCTGCCTTCGAGATCATAATAGCTAAGAAGGTTCGGAGTGTAGTACAAGGTAATTACAACGACTGCCTACTCCTTCACTAACCAACTTCTCCCCGTTAAACAATGACTCTTAATTGGATTAATTATTGCGCCGAGTCCCTTTTCTTCCTACCGACTGCTATTAATATAATCACTATTAATAGCCATCCATGTTTTCCATAATAATTTCAGACCTTACCTAATAGTCGGAGTAAGTGATCCCAATTAGTATTGCGAGCCACTCCGTCCCTAATTACATTATAGTATTTGATATTTGGCGGTCGGCTTCTGCTCACTGCGAATGTCAATAGCCACCTGGTTTCATTAACAACTTCCCTTCCATTACCCACACCTTAAAACACGCTATTATCCAACGCCGGGGCTTTAATTCATATAAATATGAATTTTAAACATCGACTCATTACCTTATTAAGTTCAAATTTGCATCTACGTGATGGTCAAATACGAAGGTGTGTTCTACCACCATAGTTTTTTTAAAGTCTCTTTTTTGTATCTTAAACAAAACCGCCAACGCATATGAGCCTAATAGATGAACTTCAAATACAATACATATTATAACCGCTTATTAAATCCATTAGGTTTCGTGGTCTGATTGACCAAATAAATTCTTTTCAATTAATTA